ATAAAACAAATATTTCACTCTATTTTCGGTGAATACCTGTAGCACTTTCACAAGGTGATATTCCACTTGCCCTTCGGGCTTCGTGGAATATCACTTGTGAAAGATGTACAGGTATTCACCTCAATAGAGTGAAATATTTGTTCAATATTCAATGGCAATGCTAATCAGATAAGACAACCGTGAGATATCTAGCGATATCCCATGCTCCCGGGAATTTTCAAAGAATTTGTTCTCGTTCAGTGTAAATAATTTAGTTCAGTGTATGTCAATATGGCAGACGAACCAAGTAGATTCGTAAAAATATATATATTTCAATGTTAACCTATGACTTAATAATATTAGGGATGTTTAGCTAGACAGTGATATAATAAAACAAATATTTCACTCTATTTTCGGTGAATACCTGTAGCACTTTCACAAGGTGATATTCCACTTGCCCTTCGGGCTTCGTGGAATATCACTTGTGAAAGATAAACAGGTATTCACCTCAATAGAGTGAAATATTTGTTCAATATCAAAGTGTAATACAATTACAAGCATCAACGTTTACCAAATAAACATGTTCAACAAAATACCACAGATGACACATCTTTAAGTATAATATTAAGACAAACACCCACACATTACAATTCAACACAACACAACCTGGTTAATACGACAAAAAGCATGAAACCTGTTTCCATCTTTATTTTGATATAAAATGGTTCAGTTGTAAAGAATGACATTATTTTTCTACCAAGAGCCACAGATATACGTTCTCTTCACGAATTTGAGAGAAAAAACTACTTGATGAATACTTTTGAATCTTGTTGCCTGCTACTCTTTAAAAGTGCAAATAGAAATCTTGGCACCAAATCAATTTTGAAAGAACATGAACAATTGTTCAAAAAATGTCAAAAGTTTTCACCCCTTATGTCTCGCTCACCTTTTTCTGAAAAACAACACTTTCTGAATATGAAGAAGTAATGAATAAGCTTTGCAACAATATCAACATTGAAATCAGACAAGTAATAAAAATCACAGAGGGGAGGGGGCGGTCCAAATGGCCCCTCCCCCATTTGCGACTAAGGCTGCGTTTTTGCAGACATATAATAACATATTATGTCTCTGGTTTTTGAACTACCCGCGGGCTAGTGCATTGCATATAATAAGTATTCCTCTAGGTGTCACGAAAAAGAACAACGAGCCCATGCGTTGCAAAGTACATACAAGAGCATTTGAAACGCTTATTACGCTGTGGCAACCTTGTCGGCTGCTCGAGTGTGTCAACTGCGCCGGCTTGTTGCTATTGCACCACAGGAGTTCGATTGCAATAAACCGGTGTAAAAGGGTAGGAGGTCCTCTCCAATGGTCCTACTTTCCATTGATTTATATGGTGACCTAAATACAACTCTTTCCCTTATTATCGTTACCACAATCAGGGCCAGTAAGGGCCTTTAAGAATTATGTGAGTGTTGGTGCGCTCGGAAGAGTTCTTTTGTTGTTGAAAGCATGCGACCATGTGATTTGCGCTACGGGGCTTTTTTGTATTTTTTCTTGATACCTGGGGGAATGTTATTACCTATTACGCAATGCACCACCGTCACGGGCGATTCAAAAATAACAAAGGGTGCAGACATTGGGGTTAAGCAAATATCACAAATGTGACCTTATCTGGGAAATATGTGGCTGAAACAATATAAACTGAACTTGCTATTGTTCATTTGAACACATAATGTGAAATTGATGGTCAACAAAAGGACAAGGTGCAATTATTGGCAAATATCCCTATGGTCAAAATGAATCATTCGTAGGTGTAACATGAAGAATAAAATGTCATATAATACTTTGGAAAATATTAAGTGCTCGGACACACATAAGCTGAAATAGGGATCATTTCGTTCAGTAAGGTTGTATTGACTTACATGGGGCTGTACACCATTGACTTAACATGAGGATATCAGCAGATCCCAATAGAGGCCATTGGATTCCATTGATTATCACAGAAATACCAAAAATACAAGTATGACCTGAATCGATTGCAAACTTAATAATTTCACAATACGACACAAATGGTTTATCTCATCAAATGTGCAAATATGAAGTTTGCAATCGATATGGTTTATCTCATCAAATGTGCAAATATGAAGTTTGCAATCGATTCAGGTCATACTTAAAATTAAAAGATTGTACATTTTTCATTATTTTTTCCCTACAAAATGGCTATAGAAAAATGCTCCAAAAACAACTTTTACACTTATCAAATATCATACAAGTTTGTAAAACCAAAGATTATACTATTATATTTCATTATGTAGTAACATATTTGGATAAGATGCAGGGATGCGTAGGATGTAAATGGATTTTGACAGACACAAAAATACTTCCTGGTTTGGAATATATGCCTCAACACTTCATGATTGAATTATGGCCCTAATAAGAGGCCTATACATCAATACAGTGCTGAATATAGGTCAACAAGATACCAGTGTGCATATAAATGTAATAATTGAAGCAGAATACTCATTTTGAAAAATCAGATGAATTATTTTTTCCCATGGGGAGATCCCAATGGAGGGTGTATAAGGTCCTTTAAGCATAACGATTGGTTCAGATAACTATCTGTGTCTACTCGTCGATTATTGGTGTAAAACAAAAAACATGGCCAAAAATAGAAATAGAAAAATAGCTACGAAAACGATATCGCTTAACATGATTCCCATTGGATGTAATGACATTTTAAATGCCTAATAATCTTGATTGTAATGAAACTGTAAAGAAATTGACTTTGAAATGACATATATAAATACTTACAGTATACTTACACAAAATACACAGAGGATATATTTATTATCATATTTATCCCTTGGTCGCTATTTAAAACAATTTGACCTAAAAGTTGTTGTTTTCGAATTCTTTTCTATTTTTTCATTATATTTTCTGTGGACTTATTTTAAAAAAATGATTGCATGAAACATTTTAACTCATTTTTACTGAGCACATAATCTTGGATTGTTGCAGATCAAACCGAAATAAAAAAGCCTTGAATGGTTTATTGCATTACAATAAAAAATCCAAATTTTGGCTACTCTTAAATCGTGACAGTGTTGTTATTTTTAGATTCACCCATGGGATAAGGCGGGTGATAAGGACCCTTTCATCAATTGCAATTTATATATTATATACTAGGGTGAGTAGTATAGGTTGTTGATGTGTAACGGTAGATAGAAATTCTCATAGAGATTCACTTCGTATACGTGCATACCCCAGAATGCTGTCAAAGGGTTAAACCCGAGATATTTTAAAACTAAAGCCGATATATAATAGGTCAATGAAAATCCGCCAGTCAGTTCATATATTGATAAACAATATAAAATGCAATCAACCTGCATATCCGGGTAAAACACAATTCAAATTCGAACCTCATTGTATTCATATCGAGAACTGTCTTAAGTTTATATTCCCATGACAACAAACCTACATGTACCACATGATATATTGATTTCCAATTTTATTGAAGACCCATTGAATTTCACCCAGAAGGTTTCGTAATTTTTGTTTTTGTGGACATTGATATTTTGTTGTTTATACGTATTTTGTGTTTGGTTGTTAACGCCATACGAGAGACGTCCAATAAATATCAATACAAAAATGACATCATGTTGTGTACAGCTGGTTAGTTGTTAACCGTAATATTATTCATGCCCGGTTGCAAATGTGTAAATGACTACATTATACACAGTTTGGTGACAATAATATACAAGGAAGTGTTTCAATGATTGCACTATTTTGATCTTCCAAAAACCTCAGTATTTCTTGACTGACAAAATCTAGAATCAATTTTTATCTACAACTAGACCCTTGCAAGTTCCACTGAAGATGTGCTATTTTAGTAAGGCAATTACCTTGACTCCAAGCAATTTTATTAACGCCATGATAAATGCATTCTTTTTCACAAGTTCATTTTACATTTTTAAATCGATACACTGATTGGATAGCCCGGGTTGGATAACACCAAAATTGTTTAAAGTCTAAGCTATTAAAGTGTTGGAAAAACGTCATCCTCGATCCTCCAGGATCCTATCAAATTATATAGTACCCAATCTTCTCGCTCGGTGAATAGAATATGCTCGACTTACACTCCCCTCCATAAGTTTGGCAACCTTAGCTCCCCCATTGAACTACGTGTTAAAGCCTTTTTACTTTGAATTTTTATTTACTTTACCTGCGGTGTAATAACTTATGTAATATAATATTAATGGAAGCATAAATTGACTTTTTTCCTTGATGAATACTAAAGTTACAGCGCTTCAAAGTCATTTTTGAAAATTTCGCCTCCTGTGTTATTTCAATGGGAGAGGTTTTTTGAAAAGCAATTTTGACTTTAAAGCCCTATAACTTTGTTGAACCTGAAGAAACACATCAATTTTTTGTTAAATAAAGTTAGCAAATTCAATTGCCTACCTAACTCGTATTTTTTGCAAGGACTCGGATGGATAGATATTCTGTCATATGACGTGCGGCAAACCTACCATTTCCCATTGGTTAACATGGTAATGTCGATTTTCGAAGATTCATCAAATTTATCATCAATTTTCGACTTATTGTTATCGAGGAAAAAAAATGAGAACATTTGGAGGTATTGGAAATAAAGTCAAATTACGTTTCCATCAACAGTATAAGTATTTTCATCGCAAGTTAAGTAAATAAAAATTCAAAGGTAAAGAGGCTTTAACACGTAGTTCAATGGGGGAGAAACGGTTTCTAAACTTATGGAGGGGGTGTAATTGCTAATCGACCTGAACTAACTAAGATTAGTTATGGCATGCTGTAATTAGTAATTCACATTTGAACATACTGATAGACGGGCAGCATCTCTATGTCCGAATAAACTTTATATATATATTATACATATTTATCCCATACTTGGACGTGTTACAGGTACATAAAGTCGGTTTGTAAAAACTCATATTTTCATCAGCGGGCAGATATAGCTTAACGTTCCGCTCCGAGCGGGCAGATATTGTATAAAGTTGTATGTCAGTGGGTAGCTATTGATCAATATGTTTATTTCAATATGATTTATCCAATCTTATCAGATGAAGGCAAACCGACACATATGAACAATGAGATTGCAAGTATACATCTTAATAGTGGGTAAGTGTCTTTTATTAGATGATCGTTTGATGTAAAAATAGCTTTTATTATCTAAGTGTATTTATTAAACCAATGTTTTTGTTTCCTCATGTTTCCACTTGTAGTCTCTGGCAGTTTGTTCGATTGATCTTTGAATTATTGTTATTGATGAACTTACATGTCACGAGGATAATGTTATGAATCATTTTTACAACTTTGGATCACTGTTTATGTTAGGGCCTAATTATGATGTTGATTCCGAACAAAGGTGATCTTCCCAAAGTTGCCTTTAATTGTTGCGTCATATTATTGAATTATTTAAACAAAGCAAAATTTCAAAATTTCAATTTTTATATATTTTAGTTGTGATTTTTGTATATGCATCAAATCAAAGAGTGGAGGCTGAAATAATATGACATTTTCTCGATCCATTCAATGGATTAAAGATTATAATCAAATAAAACACTTGACACTGTAAAAAGCATTATTTTCTCTACTCCATTAAAAAGATTAGGCAATAGTCAATTGATTGCAACCATTCAATCTAGAATTTTATGTATACGCAGGGTGGGCCAAGCCCCGAATAAAATATTTAATTTCGGATAAATATTCATTTTGATAAAAATGATATATCATTTTAAAGATAATTTAATTAATTTGCAACAAAATGGTATATAATGAAACAACAACCCTAGCTTGAGATATAACCAATTATGTGAGATGAGAGTCTTAAACACCTGCTCAAGTCACCTCGATTTTGCCGACAATAGCATATTTCTAACCAATTTTACTATTTAGTAATAGTGCAGGCTACCTATGAGCCAAATATCAACTTGACCCCCGCACCCAGTATAACAAGTCGTCATGGGTATCAAATTGTTCGTCTTGCTGAGTACATTACAAAAAACAATTTTGACAGATTGAAATATGGGTCAGATTCGATAAATATGACATAATGTTATGTAATCTATTATAATGACATAGCATTTTTTGTAAAGCATTTTTAAAGGAAATGATAAAAAGAAATCATGAGCTAAGCAAATATTAATTGTCTATATACTTTAAAATAAATTTTTATAATTATCAAAAATAGTTTGGACTTAGAATTATGTAATTATTACATAATTTCCATTGTTTTATGAGTAAAATTACAATTTGAATTGCTTTCGTTTTTAAGATAACAGAATTTTTGTTCTAAATGATATAAACCTCATGTGCTAAACTAATTCAAGCAATAATATCTTATTATGAGTACAAACCTTCATAAAAAGACTTAATCTTATTGTAAACATTATATGTCATGCATATGTAGCAGCAAATAACATTGTGTATTAAGACACAATGATAATATCATTAAACATTTATTCAGATACTAGTATACTTATCCAAATATTCATGCATATAAAAATCAGGTAACTGTTATGATAATTTTAAACATGATAAATATCAAGTTTTTACATATAAGGACTTACATCTTTCAATAGAATCATTATATAATATGAAGATGTGATTATTTCATACATCTTTATTCTAAACATCTGGATATGGTTTTTACTCCACCATCATTGTGTTTTGGCAATTACCCACCTCACAGGAACAGATAGACATGCACAATAATCCTGAAAAAAGGCATCTACAAGCCTGATTAGTGCGAAATCCATCTTTACAATAGATTTTGGTAAGATCCCTTAATTCAATAGGGGCAGATGCTCTCAAAATCATCTTAGGAACCAGACTTCCATCAAAAAAGTAGCATTCGGTGCCTTCTGGTTTCCAAAGTTTGGGCTTTGCTATGTGAGCACTATGTCCAGATTTGACATTGGGGATGTACTCCATATACTCTGCACTGTAAGAGTCAGTTGCTGTTATGGTCATTAGCCTTCTTCTTTGAAAACTTCCAGCTAAGATGATTGATTCATCACTTTTTATTTTTTGTCGCATTTTGCACACCCGACTTGCACATTTTGTTAGAAATGAGCAAGATTTGCCTTATTTTACCATTCCTTAGAAACCATCTATAATTTGGGCCTACAAGACTACATATCTTGAGCACATCATCTTCATCCTTTTCGTCTTGCTTTGGTTGGCATTCTTCATGAGGTTTTTGAGTTGTGTTGAATGTACAAATTTCTAACAGATTCTGCATAGTCACTGGCGATGTGACAATGTGACTTTACCACCTCCCTGGTTGGTTGAATAGAATCTTTTGTGCTTTGTTGTACAGGGTGGTCAAAAAATGGAAACCCTGCATTTTCCTTATATCTTTGTCATTTTAAAATATTACTCCCTCATATTTCACACATTTGTACATCATTCACTATTATACGACCCTACCATATTTCATGACCATCAGACCAATAGTCACAATTTTACAGCACTTTAAACATCATGCTTCAGGTTTGGGCATTATCACGCTGTAGTCAAACCTGCACAATTGTCAATGATCCGAATGCATTCTTCAGCAGATATGGCCTGAATGAAACGAATGATCTCACTTTTGAGGTCTGCAATTGTCCTAAGGTCATTCTAATACACTCTATCTTTGCCGTATCCCCCCACAAGTAGGGACATTTTGGACTACATGTGCAGGTTTGCTGAAAGCACAATAGTGGCCACTGGGGTATGTTCTTTAAAGTGCTGTAACTTTGTGACTATCAATCTGGTGGTCATGAAATATAGTAGGCTGGTAGAAAATTGAATTATGTACAAATGTGTAAAATATCAGTTCTTAAAATGACAAAGATATGAGGAAAATGGCGTAAGTTTTTTTACCACCCTGTAAATGGCCTTTTTGGGCCTTCTGATTGTCTCATATGCCTCACAAGTCTCCACATTAGGTCAGATTTGATTGTACTGTGGTAGAAACTGGAGGTTGTCATCATTTCTGTATTTTCTTTTGATGAAATGGGATTCGGTGTTGGTGTCACTTTTGGTTTAACTCAACAACCTTTGGTTTTTATAGTTACATATATCTGTGTCTTCCAGAGAAGTCATGTTTGTTTTTCTGTTCGGCACCTTGTTATCATTATTATTTTCTGATCATTTATACAAGACCATGGCCATAGAATGTGTTGATCCCTTCCCATCAATAGTGTCTTCATTTTTGATCAAAGTTATTGATTGCAGCATCCACTAATAAAACCAATATTTCCAGGTTTCTCAATACCACTGAGATTTTTTGTATTTTTACAAAAAAAGGTGGCCATTTTAAATTGAGGAGTCATATTGGTAATTCCTTCTCCAGCAGAGGTCCTACACCCATAAGGCATAAGCCTATAAAATTTGAATTAAATATGTCAATCGGTATTTAAGTAATCCCTAATAAAAAATTCAACCTTGAAATTCTGAATTTAAACCGTTTCTATCAATCATTGAATACTGATTGTTTCAACTACTAAAGATCAAAGGAAAAGCCATTGTACAATGATAAGCAATCATTGTCCAACCATTGCGTTCAACCAAGTGAACTCAACTCTTTTTCAACGACTGCGCAACCGTTTCTTTACAATCATTGTAATCTACAACCATTGTAAACTGCAACCATTTTACATTGAAATGTAAATGGTTGCAATATGTTTTGTTCAATGATTACAGAGTTCAACCCCTGCAACCATCCTGAATTAGTATCGTTCCAAAAAATTTTCATTTTACCTGAATTAAAATTATATTTTAGTAATTATTTGAATTTACCTCTATTCAACAACAGTATATTAGGATATTTTTTCTGAAAACATACATGCATGTTTATTATGGTAAATTACTAAATTTAGTTTACTATGATACGTTTCTTTCTCCAGTACGGATTTAGGAATGCGATACCAGACTAGTTTTCCACTCAATGGCATATGATAATGGTGTATCTTTAATGTAAATTAAGAAAAGAATCGAGCAAAATTCCAATTTGGATTGACCAAGTAAAATCTTTAAACTTAACAAAATCACATGATTCACCTAAACACACTTACGGACGGATGAGTGGCTTTTCTATATTCCTCAAACTCCGTTTGGTGGGATAACAAAGTATTAAATAAACTAGCTACAAATAACCTTTTGTTGAATGCATTCAGCAAGACCATCCTATCTGGATGGCCATAAGTTCTGCATAGTGACTCTGATAAAACGGTTACTGTATGTCAAATAGATGCTGAAAATCTATAAGTCTGTATATATTACATAATATTATATCCTCATATTATTTATGTTATTGTGGAAATAAAATTGTGCTATCACATCCTTTTATTCATTTTTTGTATTTGGTGAAGTTAAACCAGTTTATTGCATTAAAGCGTGTCTTGCAACGTCTAATTTCAAATTTTTTAACATTATTACATAATAATTACATAATTATGATTAATATTGATTATAAATTTCTTTTAAATTTTGTCATCAATTTTTTCTGAAAGCATTACCACCATTATCTGTTGTTATACTTTGATAAGTACCTAACCATAGCTGTTTTAAACCTTGAAAATATAAAACATAGAAAACAATAAATTATGTAACATTATGCTAATTATCTGGAATCCGACCCATATTTGAAAATGTCAAAATTGGTTTCTGAAAACTTCACATCATACCGAACAAAATGGTACCACATACGTCTTGTTATACCGGGTGCGGGGGTATGTCATAGAAAGAGGCCTCACTGGAATGTACCTAGCCTGTACTATAAGGCATTGCATCATTGCAGGAATATTGACTTGACGAGGGTGAATTTTTTCCTGTATATACATTTTGAAATTCGTGATGTATTTGTCAGTCAGGTGGCAGATCACGTTTTAAAATTGTCGACTTCTTTTTATCGTACAAATATTTTCTAAATTCGTTAAACTTTCAAAATAAAGCGATATTGTTGCAATTGTTCTACTGTAAGACAAGCAGAGTAATCACAAAATGTACAGTTGAGGCGATTTGATAATTGAGATGCGTTTATTCAATAGATCCAATATTTTGAAAGTGTAGCAGTTCAAAATCCAATAAGGTCCACCCGTGTAGCTCAGCGGTAGCGCAGGTACCTCTTACGCAATAGGTCCCGGATTCGATCCCCGGTTCAGGCAAGACTAAATTTGCTTGTTTGCGTGAAGTACTTCAGGGTGTTTGACTGAGTGGTCCGCGTACAAAAAGGCTGTGGTGTGTGGGTCTATCTTCCATGTTAATTACGTAAATTACGACCGTATATACGGGACATACCCAACTCATACTCATTGGTGGTACAAAATACAATATAATGGAGGCTTATTCGTACCATGGTGTATTTATTTATTTATTGTTACAAATTGTTATTTGGCGAGAAATTCAAACATTTGACAATCAAAAGACCAATAACATTTTAATTTATTATTTTCAGTCTATACAAGGAGCATATTTTGTGACTGTGGAACACAACTTGAGAATGGCGGTACTTGTATTTGTTTTGAAAATAACTGGAGAGGTAAGGATATGTTATTAAGCAGACCTTTTTCTAATCTCATATAAGTATAACTTTTACAAAGGATCGATCATGAAATCTAAAACTAAATTTCATATTGCAATGTTATTTAAAGGTGAGATACATCCTGCCATCTAGAATTTAGAAAGAATCTAAAATGAGTACACCTTATCGTTATCTTCTCAGCAACATTGAACTAGACAATATATATGTAAGTTATACTGTATGACTAAAGAGATGACTTTAATTTTGACATTGCTTGGATATTAATATTCCACTGAACCTAGCACATGGGGTTTATATATATTTCACATTCTAGATACAAGCGGATTTTCCAGAAGAGATGGGATTGCAGATTGTCCAGAGAATACTCTACTGGAAGGGACAGTTGTGTCATTTGACATTTGCCAGTCGGAATGTAATGGTGATACTTCATGCAAAGCATTTGGGTATAACTTCTTTGAATGGAAATGTACTAAATGGAATAAACCAAGCAGTGAATGTCCATCCATGAACTTAACATCCCCTCATACGAACTACTACACAAAAGGTGTGTATTTTTTAAACGAGTTTGAAAACAGGATTACTATGAACGTATCGTGAAGTGCTGTTATTTATTTATTGATGTTAAATACTGTCTGCAAAACACTGCTCTCTCGTGCTGATATCGATATCACCCCGTAGATAAAAATGATATTCCTCAAAATCATAGGATGTTCTCATTATCCTACACTTACAAGGAGTCAATTTGGCGGGAAATCAACAAGCGGAGTATAGCATCACGATATCCTCCGCATATTGGTTTTCCGGAGTATATCGTGGCGATATCATCCGGTTATTCATTTTGCCAATAGATATCAAATTTATTTTTTAATGTTATTATACATTAAGTACACTAAGTGTAGGATAATAATAAATACAATTGTCTATATAAAGCTCATTCCGCTGGTCCAACTAGTTGACCTAAATCCATGCATTTTCTATTGTTTTACAGATTCATTTAACGAAGATGCAGATGTATATGGCGAAAATACTGAGAAAAGATGCTTCCTTTCATCTGCAGTAATTACAAAGACTCATGAAGAAGCAGATACATATTGTAAAGCATATGGTGGTAGACTTGCCACCATGACATATGATGTGACTTTTTACATTAGTCAACATCCTTTTCAAACTTTGGTCAAGTAAGATTTTGATTATCATCCTCTGTAGGTGAGCATCAATAACATGGTTAGCTATTATCATATTTGCCCATTTATTCACAACAATTTACTTTCATAATCATTGTATTATGGCTTGTCGGGAAGTGCATGACTATAACACCTCGTATAAACACTGTTCCACAACTGCTTCATTCAAGATTGTGGACACATTAATAATGTTGTAAAGTGTATTTTGTGGCCATTATTACCTAAACAATGATCAACACTTGATCTTCTTATTCCAGTAATCCAACAGTAACAACATGGACAAATGGACGACTGCAGTATGGGAATATAACATGGGCTGATGGTAGCACAGATGGATGGACCAACTGGGAGGCAGGAGAGGCAGATCTTGAGAATACATATGGCGATGACTGGTGTGTGGTTATGAAATATAGCGAAACAGCTATAGGCATGCAATGGAGATTAGCTCATTGCTGTGAACAACATAATCTTATCTGTGAATTCGTTGAAGGTAATTCAAAAAGCGTTTTGCCATTTACTTATTTGCTACCTCCTTATTGTCTTTGATCAGTTATTACATTGTTGACCTTTATATCGCTATCCATCAACAATTAAGAGGACATAGGACAGCAAAATTCTGGAAGCAATATTTGCAATAAACATGCACAAGTGATCATTCAAACCAGTCAGGCCATGTTTGTTTTTGCAAACACGTCTTGTCTAAAGGTTTCTATACAAAGTTATTAATAATATAAGAAAAAAAGAATTATGCAAGTAGAGTGAGAAATATTAGCTAAGTATTTAAAATGCCTATAGTCGGTTACTCTTGGCAATATAAATCATCTATACTACTAAAACATGAAAACTCTCATCTAGTTCGAATTCCAAGACTAATAGTCTTGGGAGAGTTGAATAGCCGCCTGCGTTATATTTCAAAAGTCAAAAAATAACGGCGCTAGGTTCGTACCCAAAACGATTCTAAACACCATCAGAAATGTTCTCCCGAATGGCAAAAAAGATGCGGCTGTCTCAAATTACCATTAGGAGAACGTTGCTGGTGGTGTTTAGAATCAATTCTCCTTTTCGCGGTTCCCTCTTCAAACAAGGAGACAAGGAAGTCTTTCCTAATATGGACAAAATATTACCCATGATGCGATTCGCTGGGGAATTAATTCTTACTACCTTGTTTTTCCCTCATTGGTTAAGCATGTGGATTTTCATACCTATTTTTCAATCGCTATGTTCATTCAAATCTCCGTCTGATTGGACGAAAGAAGGTAGATCATAAAACTTTATATATCAGATATTTTTATTATTATATTGGCTCACAACGTTGTAACAAGAAAAAAACTTGCAAAAAGGGAATATATTCCAGTAGAGAAGGTCACGTGATCAGTTGACTAGTCGCCATAGTGGAAAAAATTACTTCATTCGACTTTCCACCATTTCATTCCAATCCTTAACGCACTACAAACTGCAACATCGATGCAACAACTGAATAAAAGTACTCATCGTCAAATTGCATAATAGAGTTACTTAGAAAACCCATAAATGACTGAGCAGTTGACCAAATAAGACAACCTTTTTTAATTTCAGTTTATCAAGTACAGTTATAGAATATTTTTACATACATATAGTATACAATAATTTTAAGTGACTTTTCTTAAATATAGCTCTTGTTCTAGTAAGCATGGTAAATTGGATGTTGTCCATATTTATACTTGCTAATACGTTTTTTGTTATGAGTAAAATATTACTTACACAATTCTCAATATTTTTTTTCTTATTTGTATATTTAAGCAAAATTTCCGTCCTTTAAATTAATAAAGCATCCAAATTTTGCATTTATTTTGTTCATTATTTCTTTCCATGTATGTTTTACCATTTTACAAGAGATGATGAAATGAGCATATGAGTCTTCTTCATTTCTGCAAAATTTACAATTGTTTGAGGTTGTCCCTTCAATTAACCACTTTAATAGATGAATATTTGTAGGATAAACCCTTTGCAATATTTTGTACTGTAAGCTCTTTAATCTCGGCTCAGCAAAATTTTGAATCATTTTCCAAATATCAGACCAATTCATAATTCCATCGTTGACAAGCTCCTGGTGTGATATTTTCTTTTTTAATAATTAATTGTTTATAATCTTTTGACTTTGATGTTTTTATAATGATGTTATTGTACAATATTTTATTCTGACCAAGTGCAATTGTTTTGTTTTTCAATGCATTTGAATACCAAAGAAGACACGTCGTTATTATCAAGGTCAATCGGTTAAGTGTCTGAAAGCAAATCTATAGTACTCGTTTTCGTTTTTTGTTGATTATACAAGCTTTTATTGATTAATTATACTCAGTATACTGACCATTTATAGCAATGACAAAGAACAATATTTCCGATGGTGTCATTGTTTTATTTAGCGTTCGGGTGTAAAAACAGTGGAGAGGTTAAGCAAATACGGTTTTTCAAAACGTATACGTAAACGCAAAGTACATTGAATCAGCATAGGATTGTATCGCTTTAGTCTACTTCAGATACCCGTTCAACTTCAAAGTTGCGTGTTTAGAACAGGAGATTTTAAATTTTCACGTTGCTATCAACGGGAATCATTATACTCATGTCTGTTGAATACTATCCTTGCAATTTTGATTTCGATGCAGAGTATAATTCTTTCTAAAGAAGATGATGTATGTTACGCATGATTTAACTCCAATAATCTTACGAAACGAGCTCGTTTAAAATATGTATTAGAAAACCAGCTATTGAACTTCATCAATGGCATACTATGTAATCATTACAAGCTATGGTGTACGTAGTCTAAACAAACACTAGAGCTGAACGGCTATTTATGTGTGAACTCTACATGTATTTGTATAGGGACGATTGATACGTTTAAGTTGCGTTTTGGATTTTATACGGTAGCTTAACCTCTCCAGTATTGTGTATATACACGCCTAACCACCGACAAGGTACAGTCACGTGACAGTGACAAAATATACCATAGTACACTTTTGATGTACGATGTCACTATTAACTGATTTTAAGCAAAGACTATGATGTAGGTTTGATGCAGGTTTTCAAAAATAAATTTGAGGAATACATAAAGGAATTCATGTTTGATTTCGCGTGTATTCGATTTCAAAGACATTTATTTTTTTAATTACGTTAAAAGATCTTCGAGCAGTGCTCGATTTTTTTCGTTGTTAGTCTACCCATACAATTGTTCGGTTGGAAAATGTTGTTTTTTACACATTTTCTTTGATAATTTTAACCCCTGACGTCTCAGAGTGTCGAATATTTTTATGAGAATGTGTTTCTCTAAACTACACAGTTTAAGACGGGTGAAGATTTAATAAATATTCATGCATTTGGTATAATTTAAAAAATCAGAAATATACGTTGTCAACTCACAGTGTATGTTGTCCCTGTAATTGAAATTCATGAGTTATAATATTAAACATTGCAATGCTTTAATTTCAAAAATGCATAAAGGGTTTAATGCGTAACAAGTGCTGTTCAACGAACATGCTCCTGTATCCCTAGTACAGATAAACAGGTAAAAGTGATTTTTTCGTTGAATGCTATTTTATTTTATGAAAGTGTTGTGGTGATTAATATGTGACCATGGCGTGTTATCTTCCGACCTCTTTGACCACTCGGCGTCAGTACGTTACGTTGTGTTTAGTTGCACTTTTATGAATTTCAATAATCTTAAGGAGTTCATGGAGAGATATATACTAGCTAATCCAAGATGACTTTCAAAATTTATGCTACAGGGTGTCCCGAAACTATAGACCCCCTAGGCAGACATATACCAATGTCTCCATAGTATGTGTCATATATCATTTTAAGGCTCATCCAGAGTTACATTAATTTGCCGAGTATCATTGTTCAACTCACAAATGGAAAAAAGTTACAGGAATTTCAAAAGTTAGTGTTTGGCCAAAATTAAAGTCAGTTTTACACCAAAACAATAGGCGGTGTGTCTCCTTAGCCGCCATGTTAACAGGCAATACTTTCCATTTATGACCTTAAACAGGCTTCTAATGGGGATATGGCGTTTTGTAATCCTCATAAAACCATTTTAAGGCATGAGAAGAGTTTCCTTGGAGTATCTACCCTAAACGTCATCTTTTTAGAACTCAATATCCATCCTATCTTCGAGAATAGCATCCATATTTTCTGTCACATTCAGGGTCAGGGCTGTTTCATGGATACTGAAATGAATCTTTTTGGCAAAACGCTAATTTTGAAATGCCTGTTACTTTTTACCATTTGAACCATCATATTTGGCAAATCAATGTAACTTTGGATAAGCTTAAAAATGATATATGACACATACTATGGAGAAACTGGTATATGTCTGCCTAGGGGGAACATACTTTGGGACACTCTGTATATCTGGAAAGTGCAGAAGTTCAAAAGCCAGGTTATGGAACACAAAAAAAAGAATTCGTGACATTGAAATTTAATCATATCAATGACAATTTTATGGATTAACGGACAAAATATTAGAGTAAATATATCTGATATGCCTATTTTTATCATTACTTTATTATCAAATATGTTCCTTCTATTACACGTACATTATAGAATTTCATTCACTGTAAAATTAACTGTGAATTGAGATCTGTAAGGCCAATGTGACAACATACATTCGAGTTGACAACATACATTATCTATTTTTCGTAGGAGCATCCAAAGTAAAAAGCGGTTTTGCATTAACTCTGGATGTATATTTGTATACTTATCTTAAGTTGTGTTTGTCGTAGTTTGGCTGTTATTTGCATAGCAAAACAAAAATAAGAGAGAATTTTGCGAAATTCAGTCAAGATTTAGAGATCCCTGACGTACTGGGTAGATCTATAACAAGATATTGAAGTTGCTGAGGATCATTTGAAGTAGATATGCATATTTGCAACTTAATTACAAATCGAATGCAACAACTACCTGATGATGAACTGACACAATATTGATCAAATCAATGCTAGTTCTTTCCTCGCTTCCTCATTCTAGAAAATGGCGATCTAAAATGGCGGAAATGACATCGTACATCAAAAGTGTACTACGGTATATTTTGTCACTGTCACGTGACTGTACCTTGTCGATGGTTAGGCGTGATATAGAGAGCGAATCGCGAAAAGGAGAATTGAGGTAAGAATATGCATAGCTGCCTACGCCCTCATTTGATCGACTTTTGAAATATAACGTAGGCGGCTATTGAACGCTCGCAAGACTATTAGTCTTGGAAATAGATAAGAAAAAAAACCTATGACACGTAAATTATTTGTGAAGATAAAAACCTGATGATGAATTTTAGAAAAGTGCCATTATGAGACTCATCTGTACACAGTGAACACTGGGGGAATTGCTCGCTCTTCAACCAGGTATAATACCTTCGAAGAATGTGCACAAAGCTGTTTGGATATATCTGTATGTTCTGGTGCCAGATGGAATATAATCATGAAAGTATGCCAACGATTTTCCAGTTCCCCTCCCACAGGATTGATATCATCGAGTGACTACCATATGATGTTCCCATCTTGCCCAGGTACAAAATCAATTCTGTTATTGCCAGACACAAAATACAAAAATGAAAATTTGTGCAAATGACAAACATTGTTTTAATGATGAATATCAAGTTGTTTGTGTACGTTTTATCCCATAAAAGCATATTGTACTGTTAACCTAGCTTGACTTGAAAAGCTAACACTACAATCAAGTGAGTGGGCATTGCCATATACATTTAAAAAATAAATAATCTAAATGATAATCTTCTAATATTTACGAACTTTATGTATACGAATTTCGATTAAACATAAATCATTAAGTCATTCAATTGTTTTAGTCATGGTGGTAGCTATAGAGGTTTATCCTGTTTAAGCCCTGCCCCTACCGATGACGTATTACCCTTGCATTTGCTCGACTTCGCTTCTTAATAAGATCTCAATAAACTAGACTCTGCGCGCAGAGTAATGACGTATGCAAAATAATAAAGTTGAAGAACAGATTCCCAAACATATCAAATCGTTATTTCCATTAATTGGACCATAAAAGGTTCAGCTTGAATTGTTTAGGTCAGTGTATATATACCACATGTATATTTGAGCAATGGTAGATGAAAGCCCCATCCCCCTCAACATTTCCAAAATGTTTTCATTTCAGGATCTGGAGACCCATGCTCATCAGATCCTTGTCAGAATGCTGGGACGTGTCATCGGGGTTATGGTGGAAGCTCGTACACTTGTTCCTGTAATAAAGGTTTTACAGGAGAAAATTGTGAGACAAGTAAGTAACGTTGTTATCATAACATGTAAAGAATCTAAATAAAGGGTGTTATAAACTGTTCTTATCAAAATAAATCCATGTCTAAAACGTGACTTGATTTAAGGAAAAGATGGCCTTGATTTGTAGAAATAACGATTCTTTAAATAGAATATTGCAATCCTCACGTTGGGTGGTCAGTTCTGATAAACCACACAATACAGTCCCACGTACCACAGGGTAAGATCTATGCCATGCCTGTCATGTAATAACAAGCTCATGCAGAAATGTTTAGATTAATTTGCATATGTCGTGATCACGAATTTCAAAATTAAACCACCGCAATTTTTCAGGAAGTTTATCACCCAAAATATTTCAAAACAACCAAGAAGTGCTGAATTTTTTGATCTCGCTTATGCCACGATCGCACCCCCCCCCCCAATGAAAACCGAAAATTGAGTGAAAGCTAACGACGCCCATGACCTGTGTGCACGAAATAAATGTAAATCATCAAAGGAACTGTAACATCATCTGAGTTCGCACCCATCGCAACCCCTCCTCTTGGCTACGCCTATGAAGGTTCAGACCAAATCAAAAATGATAAGCTTTGTCAAACCATACGGGCATCAGCTTCACTAACCAATGATAAACAAAAGTTGAACACATCGAAGATGTATTGTTATATGAAACGTTTAAATAAATTGATATATTTCAACGATGCAGGCAGTGGTCTCTGTCCTGAAGACTGGCTCTATTACGGAGATGCATGTTACCATGGTTTTAAGGGTTCGAGTTCATGGATGAATGCACGATCATTATGCAAGGAAAATGCAGCAAATCTTGTTTCCATGACAAGTTGTGATGAATATTATTTTGTTGAGGAAATAGTGAAGCCAAGGTATATATATCATATTATCAAGACTTTATAAGTACTATATACATTATTGTAAATGAAACAATATAACAGATGGCTTTTTGAGGTGATGATGGAGAAACACTTAAATAAGGTAATTGTGATAGCTAATCATGTGCGTTATATTTCAAAGGGCGTCACTAAATGACTTTTGGATTGGATTACAACGCAAGTGGAATTGGACTGATGGACAACAATCCCAATTTAAGGCATGGGATATAAACTCTGCACCAAGTTATGGAAATGGAGCTTGTGCAGTTTTGAGTCACACGAATGGTAATCTAATAGTATATGGGCAAATATACGATAATTGATATTCCATGAATTCTGCTATTCTACCACATCCTGCGCCATGTGTATTGATATCAACGACATTATATGTGTGCTTTCGTGATGTCAACACAACTGCTAACCATGAACATGCGATATACATATGTTGAAAATATTGCTTATTATTTGTTAAAAATAGCTTTAATGGTGATTTTTTGACAAAAATTAAATTTTGCTATGGAAACTGGGACAACATAACAAATTATGCATCAAGTCCGTCGATAATTTCTAACTGGTTAATAAAATATGTTTCCGGCCATCTCTCAAAATAGGGGTTGTTTAATATGCCATAGTCATTGAAAAAGAACACGTTTTATAATGTCCATATGTTTTGTATCCTCCAACACATACTCAACATATTAAATTTACTAACAAATTCGATATAATTGAAAATTTATATAACAATCGTTTAAATACTAAATTGGATTAGTCTCATTTCTGAAAATAAGTGTTTGAAATCATTTATGTGCATTGATGAAATCTTAATGTTTGGAGGATACAAAATATTGGACAGGAAAACCTAAATCCACCAAAAAAATAACAATATTTTGTCTGATGTTTTCATTGTCTGTCATTTAAGAGATAACCCTAAAGGGGCACTTTCTTGCGAAATCTTGATGCACCAGCAATATTAAATTAACCAGTGTGTTGGAGGATACAAAATATTAGACAAATGATATATGCATAGAAAAGGTATTTCATTGCATGGGTAACACACATCTAACATCGCCCTTTTAAGAGCTGATGTCAAACATAATTGTTTATGTCGTTTGAAAAATATTAGCGCAATCGATGCTCTGTATGTGCTGTATTTCAGTTTTGTATTACCACAAACAAAATAAAACTTTGTTTTTGACAAAAAAATCATTATTCAAGCTAATTTTAGGAAATAATAAGCAATATTTTCAGTATACATCGCATGATTATGATAACCAGTTTTGATGAGTTTAAAACACCACTCATGAAATGTCGCTTCTATCAACACACGCGACGCAGGCTTTAGTAGAACAACTGATTTTGAAAATATAAATTATCGTAAATTTGCTACCCTTTGCATTCGTTCGACTTCACTTCTTAAAAGAGAGCTTGGTCTTAGTTTAACTAGACTCTGCACGCAGGGTATAAATTTGCCCATATATACTAGATAATCAGTGAGCATCCCAAGCTCTATAATGAATACATATGTCGCTTTCAATGTTAAATCTGATTATAATGATATATATTATGTAACTACTATGACAGTTATATTTTGTAATATCAGCATGGGGTGATGCAACTTAGATTATTACATCATACCTTAGTTATTTAATTAACTTTAATTATACGTAGAGACATACTCAGAATTTAGCAGAAAGTTTCTATTTTTACATTTGTGGAACATTTGGTTTTAGGAAAATGGTTCGACCAGGACTGTCTTACAGCGGCAAATTATATATGTAAAAAAGCAGGTAACTACTTAGTACTTCATACACTACCCTCAATAAGTTTGGCAACCTTAGCTTCCCCGTTGAACAACGTGTTAAAGCCTCTTTACCTTTGAATTTTTATTTACTTTAACTGACTTTCAAATACTTTAGAGACCGAAATTTGGGATTTCAAGGAATACTTTTCAAGAAAATAGTCTTACCTTCTATCAGGATGGGTTCAGGTGCCAAAAATAACTGATCCATGGATATATATCATTTTGAAAATTGAAAGCAAGAAATATTTTTGGAGGCCGTGTTTTTTTAGTCATAACAGGAAATAGATTATCTAAATGAAAACTGGATTAACATCATTAATCCTGATTTTGGCTTAGAATATTTACCTAAATATGTATTTAACTATTATTAGCATGATTATTGACTATTTTTTTTATTAATCTTATGCAGTGATTCGACTGTTTTCTAAAATTCATGACATAGCTTAAAAATTAGATGCTTTGTTTTACTTGTCCTTGTCGCCTAATGGATAAAGGCCCTGGACTTCTGCACCAGCTTTTGGTGGTTCGAATCCCGGTCGTGCCCAAGATTTTTTTTCTTTTTTTATTTATCTCTCGACCACATTATTTTTTTAAATCTCTTTTTATACAACATATAGTCATACCTATTACTTTTTGAGGTTTTAGCTTATAGATACATCGTCCTGTGTGTTACTTTAACCTGCAATGAAAATACTTATACTATTGATGGAAACGTAATTTGAGTGTATTTCCAATACCTCCAAATTTTCTCAATTTTTTTCCTCAATTACAATAGGTCGAAAATTGATAAATTTGATGATTTTTTGAAAATCGACATTCCCATGTTAACCAATGGGAAATGGTTAACTATTTCTGATTTTGAACATTATAAGTTTCTTTTTAATACAGGACAATCGTGTGACACTGGCAATGGATGGTCATTCTATGCTGATGGTTGCTACAAAAAGTTCTTCACAAGCACCTTCAATGATGCCGAAGCAAATTGCATTCTTGAAAATGCTCATCTAGTTCATGTTAGAAATACAGATGAAAACCAGATGCTTTATACCAATTTTACGTGAGTCTAACTTTTTAGTACGAAATGTACATACTCTTCTTTCTATAATCAATAAATGATACTTCAATATAGCTAGGGCTGCTTACCAACACCTCTCGGAGAAAAGAAATGAAGAAATGAATTTACTTTTATACCTTGATAAACCATGATAGAAAACATCATCATACAGATGTGTAACTAAATGAAAGGATATTTGCCTGTAAATTAGAAAATTTTGATGGACATTGACCCCTGACCAAGAATAAGGCATTTATGTTCCAATATACGAACGATATCAGATGAACAGTAAATAAGTTCTTGGGATGGATGTACGGACAGATGAAAGGGAGGATGAGCGAAGGAGTTCTCTATCCCATCTGAAATTCTCAAATCATAAATTACAATATGAGATTTATTCTGATCTTCATGAAGAGATAACATAAGATATGTTATAATTTGAAAAATAAGCCATATGGAGGATAATCTAATTTTATTTGAAATTTTCAGGTCTGACAATACAGATATTTGGATAGGATTCTTCAACACAGAAAACTATGTTTGGTTTGATGATAGTGACATAACATGGTGGCAAGACACAGCCGCCATAGATACCAACTATGTGTGTGGTATAAGCAACTCGGGGATTTGGAAAACTCAGGATTGTATTGCCACTCATGACTATATATGTAAGCAGAAATTAGGTAAGGTTATATTCATGTGTTAGAGTGACCTCCAAGTACAAGATACTGAAATTGAAGAATTAAGATTGAAGATTAACCTATTGAACCACAACAAAAATACAGCTGCTGGTATATTATTGTCAGCTGTAAGGGATAATGTAGTATCAAATGTTTTAAAATATAATACTCAAACATTATAAGCTCCTTTCACTTCTTTTCAATTCATCAAAATAACAAGTAATTATTCAGATGTGAACAATTGATTCTTTAACAGCCAAGTGTATGTGCCTAAATAGGGATAACTGGTTTATAATTTAGATCCGGCTTTCTCGACACCCGAACCTACCACTGTTGCAACAACAGTAGCAACCACTACTACCACAGCTGTTCCTACATCAGTAGCAACTACTACACCTACCACTATCCCTACAACAGTATCAACTACTGAGCCTTCAACTGTTCTTACAACAGTAGCATCTACTGTGCCGACCACTTTTCCTATATTAGTAGCAATTACTGTGCCATCAACGTTTCCTTCAACAGTAGAAACTACTGTGCCAACAACTGTTCCAACGACAGTCGAAACTACTGAGCCTACAACTGTTCCCACGACAGTAGAAACTACTGAGCCTACAACTGTTCCCTCGACAGTCGAAACTACTGAGCCTACAACTACCTATACAGCTTCTGGATTTGTAGCAGTCACAACTGTTAAATCCTCAACAACTACAATTGAGCCTACAACTGAAATAATAACTGAATCTATGACAGTGACAACATTTAAACCTTCAACATTACCAATTGCTGAACCTACTACACCTACAACAATTGTTTCTTCAACTGCACAAGCATCTGCAAGGGCTACAAACCAAACAACTAAGATAGTAACTGAGTCTTCACCTCAACAAAGTGTATCGACTACAAAATTTGATGAATCAACAGCTTTTCCAACCATAATAGAAAGTAAAGAATCCCAAAAGTTGACAAGATTTCTGGAGAAAATGCTCAAAGAAAGGAACGAGGAAAAGGTATACAGACCTGCCAAGAAAATGGTCTTTGTTCCCGAAGAAGCTAAGATGGCAGTCGCTATTGGAGTGCCACCTATTATTGTCGTCATCATAATATTGGGTCTCATTTTCATATTAGACGTTCCAAGAGTTGCATTGGATTTAGTGCAAGCAGTTAAAAACATTAAAAGATCATTGACATCTATGTTTGTAAAGTAATTCTTACATGCACATTTATTTGTATTATATGTATACAAGTATATGCTCCAAAAACATGCACCGTGTTTATGGCCTATGATGAGAATTAAGTTCGACTGCTTCTGCCTGGAGTCAATCATCATGTCATCGTTCTGACATAACCCGTGAATATATCTAAGTGCTTATAAATAATCATACCTGATCGATAGAACGGACCGATCACGGAAAGTATCGCAACAGGCTGCTAATTTTTGCGAGTAGTTTCTGGCTCTAACAAATGAATGCATATGAAATGCCCATATATAATCTTCAAGAAAGTTCAAAGAATGGTTTCAAGATCAATATGATTATCTCATAATCCGTGTTTAATCCACCCTTCAAAAAGTTTTTTCCAAAATACATTCATCATTTTCACCATCGTCCATCGTTTTTCTACAATTTTTCATGCAAAGGTACAATGTATTTGAACAAATGTTTCATCACTTAAAATATATAAAGGATTCCTCCTGGATTAGGATTAGGATAATCCGATATAAGGGGTCCAATGGGGAATGTCTTTGTTGTGCTTTTAGTTCAACACACTCAGATAAGATGTCATTGGTGTACCATAAAGTTAGTTCAAAATGTTTAGATGGTTGGATTTTGGTTAATACCCTGTTTGATCACTGGAGCATATCCCCTGCATCAAACAATTCTGAATTATGTCAAGTTGACTGTTTTATGTTTGTGTGCAGTTAAACCTGTTTGTGTGTGTGTGTAACATTTGAAATTCTGAATACCTCTCTATATCATAATTTCTATACTTTCATATCATTTAATTTAAACAGGTTCTCTGTATCTGGTTTATCACCAATGATTCATGAGATATACAGTACTATTGAAAATCATATACCCTCTGTAAAGTAAAAAATGTGCATGGTCCTTTGTCAGTCATAACATCTTCAAAATTTTGTATGATATTACTAAACTCTTGGAGGCACATGGTGTAAATATTGTGAATAACTGGTGGATTACAATTACAATTTGCTATAGTACATTTTCCTCTAAGCCTAGGATATCATTTTCTATATGTTTTAATCTTCATACCATTGTAAAGCCATTGTAAAAATTTATCAATTGTGTCAGTTACACCGATATGTTTATTTGATTAAATATTTTTCATAGACTGGTAAAAAACAGCCATGTTTTTTGTATAAGCAATTTGAGATATTATTGTTAAGTCTAGCCTGCAAGATGAATTCACGTATTATTTGTTTATGAATAATAGCTTTGCAACAAAAACACTGTTATTATGAGAATATATCCACGAGTTTTTCTACAAAATTAGCTGTAATGTCGTAACAATGGAGCTTTGATTTCAAAGCAGTTATCAGATTTAAGGTTTATGTGTATGTTTTGAATTTATTTGCAATCCTCTTGTGTGACATGCTATTGTTCAGGAACTCATTCCATACCCAGTCTACATCTTTCAGTTCACTTTTTAGTTCAGGTAGGTAATTGAATTTTTTCTCATTTTAATCATTTTGTAAAACCATTATTCTCTCTATTCTTTAGATATATTAGTCCACTCCTTGTGCAAAACTGAAAGGTGTACGGAATGTATGGAATGAGAATGAAAAACAGCATTTGACTCCCAATGAGGATTGCATAAATATTCCAAACATACAATACACACTTAACTTAAGGTAGAACTTCACTGTCGGTCGACTTTTTTTCTACATTTCAGATTTTTGGGGAAAAAATCTAAGTGAATGATATACTGATGTATCACAAAATATGTGAAATATTAGAAATATTGACCACTTGAAAAATATTTAATTTAACATGGGTTTCAATGAGAAATGCATTTTTAAAATAAAGAGTTTGTAAAATTCAGATTCTCTTTAAAAAGTTGTGATCATTCTATGAGAAACAAAAATTATTGAAAAATAATATGTATGAAAATTCTCAGTAAAACTGACTCTCAGAGTCCATACAGTGAATATTTTCTCAATTACTGAACCTTATATTTTAACATGTCCTGTCATTCTCAATAAAACGTTAAAACTATTAAGACGCTTTAGTCATTGCTTTTCAGTGAGGAATTGGACACTTTTTCTTTTTAAGTTTTTTTGTCCAAGGTCCTTATGAACAATACAAATAATGCCAGCCCTTTAGATTCCAGTTGCTTTCTCGATATCTCACGAGAAAAGTTGCTCGTAAAGGAATCATCATCTTGACTAGATGTAAGTTGTTCTGCCTTGTCTATTATTCACTTTTGTCTTTGCTGTTTTGGGTCTACCACCCTCAGGCTTTCTTAGAATTGACCCAGTTTCGCACCTTTACTGCCCAAAGTTTAACTGACTATTGATGGTATTGACATTGACAATATTTAAATCATAGGAAATTGAATGCTCTTTCCAATGGTATACAATATTCTACACATATATGGCTTGTGTAAATATTATGGTCAAGCCGGGGGCATCATTAAAGGCCCCATCTAAAGTTTAAACCACTTTGGCTTATATTGTATTCTTACCCAATGTTATCAAAGTGTGATATGTGAAACTTTTTTTTAAATTTCAAAAAGTGGTTTTTGATAGACTTTTTGTTCCAAAATTTGTGAATTTATTTAAAACCAGTTTTTAGAGGTCACTCATATCTTCTTATTAGCCACAATTCATACCAATGCATAGCATTCATCCTCCCGTGTTTTTTGCCGAAAAAATTAAGAAAATCGGTTCATAAATAAGCGAGAAATGAACTTATCAGTGCATGAAAATGGTTCTGAGAAAAATGCATTTCAAAATTTTAGTTCTCATAGAAACCAATGGTACAATGATATCTAAAACATAATTTATTCTTCCTTTTAACCTGGTAAGACAATCAACATTGGTTTTTATGAAAGTCTAACATATTTAGAAAAGATTGACATCGAAAAAAAAATTTCAATTTTTTTCAAAAAGTTTTTGGTACCTTAGTGACATCACTAATGTTTCAAAATATTTTTGATATGTTAAAACATTGAAGTGGCCCATTAAATATGGCATTTTATTATTGAAATAGTGTGTCCTTTGTTCAACCTTTGCATTGGTGTTAAAAATATAATCTTTTTTGAAATGCATTAAGAAATATTTGATGATTAAGAAATTTCAAAAAATGGCGGGAAATTTGAATATTTGAGAAATGAAATGCTCACAACTTTTTTTTCAAAATTTTTTTTTTGTTCAAAAATCTCTAAAATCACATTTTAAGTCCTGACAAATAGTAAATGAATGATAAAAAAATATTTTCAAACTTTAGACGGGGACTTTAAGGCATGCTCATGTCAAGGAAATACATTACACATTGCACGCCACTCTGTTTCCTTTCGAAATGATGAAATTGAGATATTCTGACCAAAATAGCTAAGGTCTGAAGCCTGGTGAAAAAAGCATGGTGAGATTCATTCGTAAACATTTGTGCAGCAATGAATACGTTTGATATATGCACTGATGTGTCCTCTTGATATTGGTATCTTGTATCAACCGTATAAATTTCATGCTCGACAATGATAGTAAATAAATAATAAAGATTACTGCACATTGTCTAAAGTAGGCCGCTCGGTATTGCAAACCGTTTTCAAAACGTCACCTAATAGCCAGTATTGACGGAATAGTCTTGACAAATTAAAGATCGATGCCTTCCGTGCGCATGAAGTTCTAATATTTCATGATTTTAGAAATACAATTCACAAAATAATGATTTAGTAAGGAATAATACAATACACTCATAATATATCAAGAATCCAATTCATCAATTGGTGTATATGAAAGCGGACTATTTTCACCAGATTTTGGATATTTTTCAATTTGCCCGCCGCAGTGTCTATTCTGATACACTGGCTTGGAAGTTTGGTCAAACAAATCCAGACGACATTAAAGATCATGTTGATATCGACGAAGAAAATATCAAGCTGTGCAACAGAACCTTTTGATTTTTAATAAATATTTCGCAACCGGCTCATTTACAAGTATAATTTTGACCCTTTCAATGTGGCAACGGGTAAAAAGATTCTGTGGTTAGATATTACCGACTTGTTTTTCATAAAACAATCAACAACACGTCGTATTCATGAATCTTTGGGGAATTTTTTTTATCGCATCACTCTATCACAACCAGTAGTATTGTGGGAAAATTAGTTGATATCTATTTTTGTTTCATCGATTTCAATACATGATCTCCAACATTCCTCATTTTACTCATCAATAGGGAAAGTCAATAGTTAGTGTCAAAAGTGCTATGTCATTTTGATCTGTTGTTGAAAAGGCAATTACCAAAGTAAATGTGAACTTAATGCCAGTCACATAATCACCACAACGGCACTCTATGGCATCCATTCAATATGCAACGACTTTTATTAAGCAGTTGTCTATATCAAATAGACTGCTACTCGTGGAATCATGACATGGTGGTTCTAGTCTAGAATAGGTATGTATAAAATAAAATGACATCTTACATTTTGACGAGCACCTTAACCATGGTTATCAAATGAAAGGTAAAGGGTTTCTTTATTGATACTGAGATTTGCCAAGATGAAAAAGGTGTCGAAGTGACTTTTTGGGTAAAAAATGTGTTTTTTGCAAAAAAAAATTTTAAATCGATAAAAAATATTTTTGAAAACTTATGATATAAAATACAGTCAAGTTGACTATCAAAAGTCGAAATATACCATGTTTAATCAACTCGGGGGGGGGGGGATTTTGGGACCTTAATAGTTTTTTCTTTGGGATTTGCATGCAATATCGATTAAAACGAGTGTGTTCAAAATATTGATGACAACGTTAACACATTTTGACGAGCAGCTTAACCATGGTTAATAATTGAAAGGTAAAGGGTTCCTTTATTGATACTGAGATTTGCCAAGATGAAATAGGTGTCAAAGTGAGTTTTTGGGTAAAAAATGCGTTTTTTGCAAAAAAATTAAATTTATAAAAAATATTTTTAAAAATTTATTATATAAAATACAGTCTAGTTGACTCTCAAAAGTCAAAATAAACTTAGGGGATTTTGGGAGCTTAATAATTTTTTCTTTGTGATTTGCATGCAATATCGACTAAAACGAGTGTGTTCAAAATATGATGACAATGTTAACACATTTTGACGAGCAGCTTAACCATGGTTAATAATTGAAAGGTAAAGAGTTCCTTTATTGATACTGAGATTTGCCAAGATGAAATAGGTGTCGAAGTAAGTTTTTGGGTAAAAAATGAGTTTTTTGCAAAAATAATTTTATGTTAAAAAGAACATTTTTAGAAAAATTATTATATGAAATACAGTCTAGTTGACTCAAAAAAGTCGAAATATACCATGTTTAATCAAGGGCTCCTTTATTGATACTGAGATTTACCAAGATGAAATAGGTGTCAAAATGTGTTTTGGGTGAAGTGCGTTTTTACAAGAGAAATTCAAAAATTGAAATATCTTTTTTGAAATTAAATTTTAACAAATATAGTCCGATTGATTATAAAAGAAGTGAGAACAACTATTTGTTATCAATTTCGAGAGATTTTCGAAACTGTTTGAGGTATATTGTCTTGTGGTTTGTATCTTGCGAATTCAAAGGCGCTTGAATTAACGTTACTGCAAGGAGTTAAGGGGGTTGCGGTTGGTGCGATCTCAACCCCACCCAAAAAATACAACCAAAAAAGAGATGAGAGGTTTAGAATGCTTTTTGAAGTTTCTAGGTCAATTTTGAAGGAGGTTGCACCAATTTTTAAAATACTACGATCGCAGCCCCCCCCCCCCCTCAGCTGGTTGAAAGCGGGCTACGGCCCTGCTATGTATACCCTTTGTTTTATGTATATTCCAGTTCATACGTTAATTAATGAAAACACCATATAATTATCTGTGATGTAGCGGATATCTTCAATAAATATTTTAATGTATATTAAGAAGATACGTGGTCAATGAAATTTGTATAAATTAAATAGTATTTAATGTAAACAATTACCAAAGATTTGAACTGCATCAATCTGTTATCATATTTGCACCCAGCAGTACATTTGATCCTATACACTGAGCTCATTGGCACTGACCAATAAGCTTTGCATTACGTTGTGCAGTGTATGTCTGGTATGAATGTAGAACTCATGATTAGTACAAGTACATTTGACGAATATTTTAATGTGATTTTCACCTTCATCTTCTATTTCATAATTATTCTCATTTATTTATTGACTGTAATTTCATTGGTACCATCAATTTTAAATATCAAGCATGTTACGAAACTCTTTGTTACAGTCTAAGCACACAAGTCAAGATCAAGACCAAGTATCCTCTTAGCTTGGTACAGGTACATCAAAATATCCCTTGTTAATTGCACTGTTGTGTGTCTAGCTCAGGCTATGTGTGAGAAGATGTTTACTGAAGTGGAGGGGGGAGGGGTCACAGAGGCTTGAAGCTAGACTACCTTATTTAACACATAATACAACGTGGCTTGATTATGGGTTACTTACAGTATAGTAAAATAACCATTCGGTATATCAAATAAGCATGTACTTTTATGTGATAACAGACTTATAAATACAGTAGCTCCCTTATGAGAGAATCTGAGGAGCAGACAATGCTGCAATGCTGTAGTGTGATTCTGATTATTGGTTTACTAGTTCAGTAAAATCAATCAAAGCAGATTGAGTACTGTTATCTATGGATTTTTCAAAACACTGGCACATGTCCAGCATGAAACAATTGACACATTGACCATAGCTGTTTGGGCATTTATGTGGTGATCACCACTGGTTGTATTGATTGAACTAGTTAAGAAATGAAGAATGCTATACTAATTAATCGTCTAATTAGTGCCTTTCGACACCTCGTTCACTTTGGCAAATCTCACAAATCGTTTGTAAGATTTAAAGGATTGTTTTGATACAGGTCTCTGGGGTGCTCGCCAAAATGTAAGAACTCTCTCTTTCTAGAGGCTTTTATTTTGAAAATATTCTAGACTATTCTAAAAGAGGGTTAACGTTGAGGAAATTAAGGTAAAGCATGAAGTGGATACTCGTCAAAGTACAACAACATATAAGAAATGGATATTGTATGAACGGTTGATACGGTTCCAGAAAATATTGCAGACAAGACAACTGATGGGGATACATAAACCATTTCATGGCTTTATTACTTTTGGGATTTACCCCAAAGATTTTAAGTATCATTTACATGTTTGACTCATAATTGTTTATGCACATACCGAAAATATACCAATTATCTACGTGCAAGTCATATCAATAATATACAAGTACTCGTTTTCGGGGGCTGTGCAGCAGACTGAGTCAAACATCTAAACAGCGAACACCATGGTTGGTTGAGTATTCCCCATGCCAAAGTTGTGTAAGATGGCTGCATCAGGAAGTAGTTTATTGGAAGACAAGTTGGTTTCGGATGCATCCATCTTGTTAGGTATATTGTATATTGTACATATATTATGTTACGTGTAACTGTTAACTATTTATGCATGTTTGTAGTTAAACAGAAATATAATTGTATCTTATAATTGATTGCTATATATACTTGTGCTGTGGAGTTCTTTTGTCATAAATTGAGGTTTAATTTAATTAAACCTTGTTTATGTGAAGAAAGAATTCCATGCTCTATACTCATTAATCATTCAAGAAGGTGGGTGGCGAGCGATACCATATGTGTTTCACTTTCTTGTATGCTCTCGAACAAGCTACAAGGAGTCGCTAACCCCCCATCCATCCCCGATTCACCTCCTTAATTATGAATACACAACCCTATGGTGTGATTTACCCCAAAGATTTTAAGTATCATTTACATGTTTGACTCATAATTGTTTATGCACATACCGAAAATATACCAATTATCTACGTGCAAGTCATATCAATAATATACAAGTACTCGTTTTCGGGGGCTGTGCAGCAGACTGAGTCAAACATCTAAACAGCGAACACCATGGTTGGTTGAGTATTCCCCATGCCAAAGTTGTGTAAGATGGCTGCATCAGGAAGTAGTTTATTGGAAGACAAGTTGGTTTCGGATGCATCCATCTTGTTAGGTATATTGTATATTGTACATATATTATGTTACGTGTAACTGTTAACTATTTATGCATGTTTGTAGTTAAACAGAAATATAATTGTATCTTATAATTGATTGCTATATATACTTGTGCTGTGGAGTTCTTTTGTCATAAACTGATCTAAATTGCTTTATACTGTGATGACTGATACTATAGAATGTTGCATTCCCTGATGGGTCATTACTAGCAATAAGCCTCAACTTGTAAGATCGGAATATAGTTTGTACGTTAGATGTAGATCATGGAGACATTGTTTTATTCTTTATTGGCCATTGCCTTACTACAGACAGTAGTCATAATTCAAGGGATAACATCCAGCAAACAGAATAAAGGCGATGTGTAAGTACATTCTTTATAGTTCACTATTCGTATCCTACGCTCACCAAGTAATACCACGATAATGATGTTATTAAACGACAATTTCGATCAGCAACTTTCTAAGATGTCATATAATTTGTACATTTGATGATATTGGCATACGTTTCATGGGATTAGACAAATGAAAACAATACTGTTAGCTGACCTACATAAATCAGCCATGTAATTTGGAATATGGAATGCACGTTTTAATGTTATCCCAGCCTCTCTCTTGTTTCATTAGGGGATTAGATCTACATGTAGGTCTAGAATATTGATGATGAAGAATATAAATGTGTGTTTTCCCAACTGCTCTGTGGAAGAACTCGTCAAGCTGTTATGCCGAAAACAGATCCGTTGAGGTAGCAAAATGGCGCAGTCTCGGAGGAGAAAATTCGATAGAATTTTCCTTTTCAATTATTTAAAGAGATGAAGTCGGAATCTTCACACCTTTTTCGGCACAGACGAGTTTCAGCATAATCGTGAAATCATGAAAAAAGAAAAATCAACCAAACTTTCCCCACCGGGGCTGCAGCCTTTTACCATTATAATGTATCCGGTAACCAGCTTTCGGGTTGCTCCATAGTGATCAGCTGAAACCCCTATTTACTGAAGTGCCAGGGATATAATAGCATTCAGTTTTGCCTGTTTTCAGTCAAATGAAATATATTCCGCTTTCAAGAATCAATAGTCAATGTTATTTTCTTGGAAGACATGTTTTATTTAACATACAAATACACAAAGGGGAACATTTTAGTGAATCGAATGTCTGAATGATTAATTTGCGCAAGTCCGAGTCTTACTGGTCCCTGGGACATACATTTCAGTGTTTTACAGAGTTTTAGGATGGGTTAATTATGATGCACCTGTGCCGTTTCATTATATGAATCAGAAAATACATCATGAACAGACAAAACAGACTAGATATTTCTAGAAACCCTGTTTTTGTCTACTAAACTACAAACTAAAATACATGTATACTCGGAAGTACATAAGTAGAATGCATTTTGATTGGTTAAAATGCCAATCCATGTCAAGGGGTTTCTCTTTTTATCTGGACATTCTGACTCTTGGCCTGGATCTTCGATTACTTCCATATTCTGAAATCATTTTCTGATTGCTTTCAGAAAGTCATACTCTCCATCCTTTATGTCATATTAATGTACTTGTTATCATATTTATGTTGTGATATTGTATTTGTTATTTACAGGGTGGTCAAAAAAAATGGAAACCCTGCATTTTCCTCATATCTTCGTCATTTTGTGTAATTATTCCCTGAAATTTGACACACATGTACAACATTCAATTTCCTACCAGCTAATAATATTTCATGACCATTAGATTGATAGTCACAATGGTACAGCACTTTGAACAAGATGCCCCAATGTGGCCACCATCGCGCTATTGGCAAATCTGAACAGGTTGTCAATGATCTGACTACATTTTTCAGCAGGTATGGCCTGAATGACATGGATGATCTGCTTTTTGAGGTCTGCAGTTGTCCTGGGGTTATTTTTGTACACTCTTTTTTTTGGTGTATCACCACAGGTTGAAGTTAGGTAGGGACATTTTGGATGATAGGTGCAGGTTTGCCGAAAGTGCAATATTGGCCAATGGAGCATGTTGTTTAAAGTGCTGTAATATTGTGACTATCAATTTGATGGTCATGAAATATAGAAGGCTGGTAGGAAATTGAATGATGTGCAAATGTGCTAAATAAATATCAGGGAGTAATTTCCTAAAATGACAAAGATATGAGGAAAATGGCGACAGGGTTTCCTTTTTTTGACCACCCTGTATATATAATATATGTATTTCTAGGACAAGTGATCAAAATGAAGATGCAGTGTTAGCTATACTGAGTAACTACACAAATATAGAGACGAAACTGCGACCATATCACGGAGGTATCTCTTCAAAATTCTTGGGGTTTATATATATATATATTCTGTTGGTTTTGAGAACATGAGATTATCTGATTCTCTGAGATTTTATGAATAAAACAGTATTTTCAAATATTTACATTTTTGATGTCACTCACCCCTTAAGGTTAATGTGACATTAGAAACACGATGTGCCTAGAAATTATCGATATGATGGTATATAGTCACGACTTTATTTACCTATTGATGGAATTCAAGTGATCAATTCTTATTTCATCACAGATAATTAATGAGACAATACGTACAGAGACGCAAATATTCGCTTAACTCAATGGTGCAAATCTGAATCATGTTTCACATCCAGTCTCAGGTTCTTTCAACCTTAAATGGACATCACATTCTTTCTTATTGTTGTAACTTATACAAAATGCATAAAACTGAAATGCGTAAAATAGAAACAAGCATTTAACGTATATGATCCAAAAAGTATGTACAACCATGGACTTTCAAGTCTATCAACATATTATCACAACAGGTTTGTAGTATATCAACAAATTATAATGGTACCGTTTCAGAGAAAATCAATGTTTATCAATAAATTATATATAAACATAGAATCACTTATACTAATCTCGTATACACTATCTACCTGTTAAAATTAGATAATGTAATTAGATATATGTAAGCATAATGCAACCCATGCAGACGGATCACCTCAAATAACATTCGTATGATGCGAGACTCGGCATTCACCAGGAAACTAGAAATATTTTGCCACCCATGAAGCAAACTATTTTTTGCTTCTAAATAAATAGTATAAGTATGAGCATTGCACGACGTCTTGATATTTCAAGGTATCTCGTTTCAATAGTGATTGCAGTGATTGGAATTACGATGTAAAGATAAAACCGCAATGAAATATTCGTTGATTTCTTTGAAAAACTAACTAACCTACATCACATATCGAATTTTCAGAAACAGAAAAACATGTATAAATAGGAGGCCTGGAGGTCCGAATCCCCTTGGTAGCCTTAGTATTGGTCTCGTGTGCGTCGTACAATTAATATTTGAAACACGACTATTATACGAACTTATGATCGGACATAAGTATGATGTGTATTCCAAGGTAGACCAAATTAAAGACAGAATCAGATCTAGGTAGCAGCCCAACAAAAAATTGTTTCAATTTTAGAATATTGTTGGCTTATGTCATTCCTTTTCATGTCTATCTTCTTAAAATCACCAAAGTGCATACTTTATTTCAGGAAAACTAAAGATAATTACAATAACATATTATTTTTCTATAAGAATGGTTACCATTCTTATTATTTGGGAGAATAACATTTTTGCACTTTGAATCCATCATAACTTCACCAATTTATTACATAACGTGAATCTTTTCGGAGACATTGTATTTGAGATTGGAAGGAATAGATTGGTAGGTCAATTGTACACATTGCTTGTAATTTTTTCACCCCCATAGATCTGATTCTGCCTTTAGGTAATATCATACTAATGTCCGATCAGAAGTTTGAATAATAGTTGTGATTCAAATATTAATTGTATGACATATACGAGACCAATGTTAATGATACCAGGTGAAATCGGACCTGTAGGCCTTACTATTTATACAAGGGTTGTTCAAAAAGTTTTGCACAAATATGTTTAATTGTGAGAATAATGGACCAATCTTGTTCATAGTTGGTCTGTATGTGCCCATACCTTATTCCCTTACACTGTCAAAGTTTCATTTATATACGCTAACTACTTGACATTTTACAGTTGCTATAGTAACCACGGTGATGACGCTATGGTACATATCATTTTGTAAAATATAATTAGTAACATATAAGGATCAATGTTACTTAGCATGCTAAATTAACTTTCATAAACTGTCAATTTAGATTTAAACAATTTTTAGTATAGTTCTCATGGAAAATGTGAGTCTTATCTCAATATTTCACATCTTGTTTTCTTTGGTTATGTCAAAGAATGACCATAAACATACTCTTCAAACATCTTGAACAAATTACCTGATTTTGTGACGTTATCAAAGTTCTCATGAATTCAGGAAATATTGGAGAATATGGCTCGGAATAATAAAGTTGGAGCAGAAAACATTGATAAAATTCATGATAAAGAATGGGGAAACAGTATTACACAAGTTATATTCATTCATGATTAAGACATATTGCATATGATGACTCCAATAGGGTTTGCTAAGTATTCCAAGATGGAATAAGAGAAGGGAAATGTATTGAGGGTAGCTGTAGTTATGAGAGGGCTTGATATCCTATAGGTACTGATTGTTCAGACATTTGCTTATGGACTGGACGTAATGCTACAAGTATAATGCATTACTGAAAAGGAAGATCAGATGTTAAGTACTGTATATTTAGATTAAATATAAATTAGTTATAATATAGCCTGACTAACAGCTGAAAGAACAAAGATTGACGGAATCATTTCAGTCTATAAAGGCATTCACAAAATCAATTCAATCTAATGACGTCATATGTACCATGGGGCCATTGGTTCAATTTTTTAAGTCAATGTATCTCAGGAAGTATATTGCTTATGGTCCTGAAATTTCATATAAGCTTGTAAGAAGGGTAATACTATCTCTGTATGAAATTTCACATTAAAATGATAAAATCCCTTCTCTTTAGAAGCTGTTGTGCAAGACTTTTCGAACGACCCTTTACATGTTTTTTCTGTTTCGAAATAGTCGATATGTGATGTATATTTCTTAGTTTTTCAAGGAGATCTACAAATATTTCGTTGCGGTTTTATCTTTAAAATCGTAATTTCAATCATCGTCATTACTTTTCAAACGAGTTACCTTGAAATATCAAGACGTCGTGCTATTCTCATACATAGAGAACTCAATGTGACTGTCATTCACAATTTATTAAGCCGTAAAAATTAATTTGCTCCATGGGTGACAAAATATTTCAAGTTTCCTGATGGATGTCGAGTCTCGTATCACGAATGTAATTTTAGGCGATCTGTCTGCATGGGGTGATAATGGTTTACAAAGCATCAAAAACTATTGGGAAGATGTAGGAAAGCTATATGTAAAAATAGTATTTCTATAAGATACTAGAATTGATCTTAGTAAAGGATGGAATGAGATGTACCCATCTACAGATCTATAGGTTAATGAGTGTAAGAGTCGGCCCCATGAGGCCAAGTCAAGTTTTTAATCGATTTAAGAGAATGACAACACATATAAAGAGTTCACTATTATATAGCGATGAAGATGATGTATAACATGATTCCAACATAAATAAAAATCAAGCTCATTTTGATGGGATTTCTCATTTTAGGCCGAGCAGTTGAAATAGCATGCCAAATCTACGTAGCGGGGTTTGGTTCTATCAACGAGGTGAACATGGTGAGCCAAACTAATTGATCATATATCAGGGTCAAAGTTAACATTATGTGAACGTAAATCATGCTTCCCGAACCAAAGCAGGCAAAATATAATCCTCCTGCAAAAGTCCACTTTACATTACATAGGTTAACTTAGCTATTTCATCTCATGCATTACCTCAAATCATTAAACCTTGCCCATTGTTTTAATCTTTGTAAAATAAAGTTGTTCATAATTGAGCAGTATTTAGCCAGACTAGATAATGTATTAAAGTCAATTATTTCATTTTTGCAAAGTTCAATAAAATCCCTTCGTGCATCAGTATGAAGATCACAGTCAGTGAGGATATGCATTTCATCTTCAACCCCTTGTTGACACATGCATAATCTTTCATGAAGGGGAATGCCTTGAAACCTGCCTGTTTCAACCTTCAGCGGTAAAGTTAATAGCTTGCAAATAATAACGTGTCGTTTCTTTGATAATGAACATGCTTGCAATTTAAATTACCATGACATGTTCCTCTTTTGATCTTATAATAAAAAATCTATATTAATTACAGTGTTTTAATGGCGACCTTATAAAGTAGTCTATGAATATGGAATTTCTTATTTTTGAGCTTCAGTGACCTATTTTATATCATTTGCCAACATATGTATTATTGAGTTGCAGGCCAAATCGAAAATGAGCTGCCTTTTGTATCATCTATGATTTTCATTTTTAGATTAAATTATACCCTTCAGTATCGTAATAAAACAAAAAATATGCACCTTTTCAATGATTTCCCAGATCTTCAATGATATCATCATTTACAGGATTATTCAATCAGTATCTTTCTACGTCAGCGATGGCATGATCCGAGGCTAGAATTCTCAGCCGATCTGGGAGAGTATCTCACTCTTGGAGCACAAAGTGTATCTTCAATGTGGATCCCAGCAATATTCTTCCCAAATGAAAAAGCTGCAAGTTTTCACGACATAACTGTCCCAAACAAAGTGATGAGAATATATCCTAATGGCACAGTGCAATATTCTGTCAGGTAAGTGCTTCTATTGCGAAGCATTCATTATATTCAACATTTAGATATTAAATACATTTTTCAAGAATGATACAAATAAAAGTTTGACAAACTTTGTTTTTCACTTAAGTTAAAAACAATCAAGAAACAAAACAAAAAACGTCGGTGATATTCTAATTTCGTGATAGAACATAAGCATTCATCCAAATAGGCATTTGACATTGAGACATTGTTACTTATCTTTAATTATTCATGTTACTATATTGGGGATCCAAATAATTTCACTAATGAAAAAGTTGGAGCAGCACAGTGATCAGCTCGCTATTATCACATCGGGATAGTCTGAGAACGGTTAAGTCAGATACCGTTGTCACAAATGGCGGACATAACTGTCGCTTCAACTGTTTAATCATCACCTGGTCCTCATTTCATGAGATTTTATCATCGCTAATTCTGTGCATGTATTAAGCTCTTGTGATGATGTTTCATATGAAATCCCAATTTCGATCAAATGGGTCGTGAATCGCCACAATATAGTGTCTTCGATATCGTCAACGACAACGGAATCTGAATTTGAGTAATTTAGAAAGACAACGGCATATGGTAATTACAGTGTCCGTTGTCCTGTATCTCATTTTGATCGGTTAAATTAAAGACTTTATTCCGATGGTAGAACATTATTAACTGTACAATGAGTATTAAGACACTTTGTTTGATTGTTGTTCCAAAGGAATTTAGTCTAGGTGCTCTATTAAACATGCAGTTCATGAAAATCTAATTGAAGCGACGGTATGTCCACCATTTGTGACAACGGTATCTGACTTTACCGTTGTCAGGCTATTCCGGTGTGATTATAGCCATATCAATAAAAACACTAATTGTATGCAGCTCGGCATATCAGACAGGAAATACCATAATAGGATGTACATATAATAGCGCAATTCTCTCAACACTCTTGTATCTACAGGTTATAAATATATGTATATATTCAACTATTTTAGATGTTAAGTAATTACAATTGTTTAAGCAATTTTTCCTTGGCTGTGTCCATTTAGACATTACTAGCCAAATTTTTACATGATATCAATAGGCAAATTAAGCATTTATTAACTTCCTATGTGTGACATTCCCAGGAATGTTAGCTCCTATCGGTCGCTGACAGCCATCTCCAGATATTTACAGCTAAGCTGTAACAAGGAAAAGTTAGTTTCGGGGGGGGGGGGGTAGTATTTGGAGCCATAATATAGGAAAGTATTTATCTTACGGGTTTGATTCATGTCTTTAAAATGAAGTAAAGGGTAATCTTTGGACAATATTTCTATTAACTGATTGATGAATGTTTTAGTGAGATCACATCTAAATAGAAAGTATGTCTTAGTGTTTCTGACTCTTTTCCACAGGCGCAGATAGTAATTACAATTTATCAACATTCTATTTGTTCTTCAACATGTTTTTTAATGGATTGGTAATCAGTATGAATGGAATACCCAAATGGTCTTGTAGTCTTGGATTGTGATTATGATTCCTGCATTAGAGTGATAGAAATTGTTCCGGTAGCCTCCTACACGTTGGATCTAAGCTTGGGGTGTTTGGGGTTTCTTTTCTTTTTCCTGGTTGTTCTCTAAAGCTATTTCATTGACGTGTTCCCTTTGACAGGTCTTAATTATTTCTCCTTGCATTTGAATATTACATCTCCTGTAAGACACGTAACGTGTTTGGATAAATGAATGACTATCTACGCGAACTGAAATTCATTTATGAACAATGGCACTGTATCATATTAGAATAGTCATTATAAGTATGACTGTTGGCAAACACTAAAAACGAACACCAAGACAGACAGCTGAGATATTAAAATACATTTTCCAAGAATGATACAAATAAAAGTTTGACAAAATTGCCATTAGTTTTTCACTTAAGTTATGCCATTCATCAACAAAAACACCGATGACAGCAGTAAAATAAACAAATCGTCCCTCTAGTTTTAAAAGGTTCTATGTCCAATTGTACTATATTTGAGAAAATGGAGAACAAACATTTAGGTTCCTCTATCTTTGTGATACAGTAAAGTAGAATGTTGACAAGAATGCTCATGCATTATATAGCCAAGAAGAATCATTCCTGATCAGGATGGCAAGAAATGCCAATGTTTAAGGCAATTTTTAAAAAAAATGCTTTTGGAGATAGAACCTTTTGCATCTGTAACGCAACGATCGGTTCATTTGATGGAGATAGAACGTTTCATTACCCTGGAATACAGTGTCCCTCTGTTACTACAAGGTCCTATGTCCACTTATATCATATTTGAGAAAACGCAAACCAAACATTGAGGTTCGTATATCATTGTAAAAACAGAATAAAAAGTCTTTAAGCCTCAATCAGTCAAGAAGAATTATTATTGTTCAGGATAGCAAGAAATACCAATGTTTTAGGCTATTTAAAAAATGATTTTGTAAAACCTTTTATTACCTGGGAATAAAGAGTATAGTCAATTCGATAAAGCTCTCTTTTAAGAAGAAAGTCACACTATTGTGAAGGGTAACCTCTTTTAACGAAATAGATGATTTATGAATAGCTTCATAAACTACAAGGAGTACAATTCAATAAATATTGAACCCAACAAATTTTTCAAAAAATAATTAAGTGATGTTTTATTATAAAAATAAATTGTATTTCAAAATAAACTATGACATGCATAAAAATTACATAAAAATAACAAGAGCTGTGATTTTTCTTTGACATTTTAAGAGTAAAAAGTGGTTAATGATAGATACATGGGAAAAGCAATTTTGTTATGCAAATGGTGAACTAATTGATGGAATTAATTGGGATAACTTTAAGACCAAAATAGATTATAAAGGAACCAACTTCAATTAGAAAATAATTAATAGAATATTAACCTGTAAATGTAAACTGCTAATATTTGTAAAACACATAGTTGTGAGTCTGGAATATTATCCAAGATAATTAATCAAAATTAAGAATTGCATATAATATCAATGAACACAAATGTATATTACATGTAGAACATAGTATTTCAAGTAACAAAAAAGTTCTACACATTTAAGAAAAACATTTTCAGATTTTAGACTAACATGTCCCGTGATATTGCAAGATTTGGTCTTCCTGAAACCTTCATGTTGTAAGTCAAATACTTTCAATTGAAAAAGATTTCCTGAACTTTTCCTTCGGTGGTTCAATTTGAAGTGAAAGTAATGTATTTCAAATACAGCATGTGAGCATTACAAAGAGCTGACAAATATTCTTTGATAAAATCCCTTGAAAATTGAAATTGGTAAGAAATACCTGAGATTTCTTTCAACAACAGGGAAAAATACATTTTCTCTGATTTTTCCCCTGACTGTAAGACCCTTGCATCAGAAATATTCCTTAGGCATGTTAGATAAAGTGAATCCTTCCAGGTTTTTCTGTTACGAACCAAGATTACTAATTCTAAGATTAAGTTTCTTCACATTACTTTATGTGTACTTCAGGGTGAGCCAAAAACGTCCATATTTTTATTGTAAAATTGTTCCATCAAATATTGTGGATTTCCATGTTAAATTCTCTCATCCAAACACCCCTGAGTTCTATTATTAATCATGCCATTTTCATGATGTTTTGGGAACAATTGCACAATTGATTCCTATATCTCCAGCAAAAACATTTTTGATATGTAAGCCTTATTCAAACGTTCTTTCCCAATAAAAATATGGAGATTTTTTGGCTCATTCTGTAGATGGTGTTTAAGTCAAATGAAAGATTACGAAATTTTATATGAAAGGTACATAATTTACCCATTAACATAATATCTGTATAAATTAAATCTAGTTTTATATCATTATACAAGATCTATCTAGCCTAGAGTACAAACGTAACATATGATTTCTATAAAAATACATAAACATTTTGGATGGCACATTATACTTGCAAAAAAGAATTACATATATAAAAAATATTTTGGGTTATGGCAATGACGATTTCACCAAATGTCATTTTTCCTAGCCTCTATTTTTGCAGATTACTTTTGTTTGCATCTTTTACTCTTTGATTCTTTTCCTGATCCTTTTTCGTTTGTGTTCCCTTTTCTTGTAGTCTCCTGGGTTTCATTTTGTTTACACCTTTTACTCTTTGGTTCTTTGGCTGATCCTTTTCCACCTGCGTTCCTCTTTCTTGAAGTTTCCTGAGATTCCTTTTGTTTACACCTTTTACTCCTTTGTTCTTTGGCTGATCCTTTTCCGTCTGCATTCATCTTTCTTAAAGTCTCCTGAGATTCATTTTGTTTACACCTTTTACTCCTTTGTTCTTTGGCCGATCCTTTTCCGTCTGCGTTCCTCTTTCTTAAAGTCTCCAGAGATTCCTTTTGTTTACAACTTTTACTTCTTCGTTCGTTTACAATTTTTGTTCTTTCTATTCTCTTTTTTCTTCTAGTGTCATCATATTCTACTTCCAGTTCCTTGACCAGTACTCTCTTCTTTTGTGTAATACATTTTGGTCCAGCAATCTCTGCCATTATCTCTTTATCCTCACCGCTCATGAACTTGAGCATATCATGTATATCATCTCGTTTCTCCTTTGTCACATGTGACTTGCAATTTAGCTTACTGACCTTTGGCCACTTTGCTTCTGCATGTTTGGTTGGTGTATTTTGTTGTGATCTTTTTCTCGTAGGTCGATGCAGTGACACCTGCATAGGACTTTGATCAAATCCACAGCGATACTCCAGTGAGAATGGAGCATTACTGCTGTAGGTTAATTGTTTAACCTTAGTGAATGGAACACTTCTGAAATCGAACTGCTCACTAGCTTTCTTGAAATCCTTAAAATCCTTCTGGTTTCATTTCATGAACATTGTAGGGCTTGGTCTCATGTGCTCCCTTAATGGTATCAACATATCCCTTTGGACTGAATATATCCTTTGGCTTGATCGATCTCTCAATTATGCTATGCATGGCATCAACTTCCTGTATCTCACTGTGGCTGTGTTCCCCAAATTTCTGATTCACTGTAAATGGTGGTTTTCTGTCTGCAAAAGGAATCAACATGTCCTTAATGGCCATGCTCATGATTGAGTTTTTATTCTGTGCGACACAGGAGTCAGACCAAACATTTAAAGTGTCTACATCTGGTGTGTCAGTAACAAATGTTTTTATGGCATTGACTGCAGAACTCGCAATCTCATTGGCACCTCTTCCAGCCTCATTTTCATTCCATGTACAGCATGTGCCTGTCTTTTCATCCATGTATTGTGTGGAAAATGTCATGTTAAAGACACCAAGTTTTCTCTTATAGTAAAATGAACTAATATTGGCTTTTGGGCAGGTCAGCACACTTTGTAGATCCATACAAATAGTTGCTTGCTTACTGCTGTTAATTTTTCTGTCCTTTTGTCGTTCTGCATGAGTTAGCTCTTTTTCTTTTCTATGTTTTTTATATTTATTCTCGAGGTCTTCATTTACTACATGTGGGTTCTTTTTCTCTATTTTATACTGCTCGCAGAGGTCACACAGGTCTTTTTTCGGCTTAAAAAAACTTAAGTTGTATTCTTCGTTGAATACTTTTCTATATATGTTTTCTTTCACAGGCTCTTGACCCCTTTTAATCATACTTTCCTGATACAAGCGAAACATTTTTCTTACTGTCAGAGTACTGTCTAAGTACTTTCGCTTTGACTTACTGCGGCAGTAGTGAGACTCTACAACAGGAAAACTTTCGATATGTTTTCGAACATCATCTTTTTGTCTTACACTTGTTGAGTTCTTTGCATGCATTCCTTGTTTTTTTCCCCTTGGCAAAGTTTTAACATCTATATTACATTTTCTATCATGCATATTTATTACAGTTCTCTGTGATATGTCTAATGTGCTAAGATAATACTCCTTGCAGACCCTCACATATGTGTCATTCACTGGAAAGAAATAAAGCATAGTAAACTGTCTTCTTGATTTAACTGCTTTTGTTCTATGTCTTTGCTTCACTATCTTTTTAGTAGTTTTGTTTAGAAAATGGTCTTTGTCTCTTGTATCTAATTTCCAGTATGCTTGGTGAATTTTCTCTCTTTCACATTTACTTATGTTGAGACTGCATTTAAATCTGCATTTTCCCATACAATCTTTTCTAGTTTTTACTTTCCGTGCTGGTCTGATATTTCCCTTTACATTTTTGTACTCTTCACCATGCTGTCTTCGTCTTTGGTTGATATTTCGTTCCCATTTATCGGGATTACGCATCCGTTTCCTTGTCAACTTTTTTTGAGCACCTATATTTGACATGTTTACATTTTCACAATTGATGATGTTTGCAAGGCCAGATTGAGAAATGGTATTTAATCTGTTACCAGGATCAACATTATTACTTGAGCCTGACACAATATTGTCACCAAGATTGAAAATATTTTTTGAGTCAGACATAATATTGTCACCAAGATTGGAAATATTATTTGAGCTAGGATTGACTTGATCTGTTGACTCAAAAACAGTACTATCATCACAATTGACTTGAGTTTGTGGTTGGTGAACAGTTATGTTGCAAGGATTAGCATGAACACTTGACTCGTGACTATTTTCATTCAGACATAACATGTCAACCAAAACAGAGTTATTAGTTTCACACTCAATTTTACTAGTGTTGTCATTATCAGATAGAACATCTATGGTTCTGGTATTTAAAACAGTTTTAACATAAGTATGGTCATCCATGGTTTTTACATCATCACTCTGCTCCATGGCAGTCATGTCCTAGAAAAGGCGCCAGTCAATGTCTGGTAATCTGAAATCGTAGCAGAGATATGTATCATTAAGTACATGATATTTTAGGTATTTTATATTTTGGTAAGGAGCTGAAGAATCGGAAATGGTATATGTAGATGTATTTCGGTTATGAAATTATTATATATTGTTAATGTGTTTGAAGTTATCTGGAGGAAGGTAATGCACATTGCCACTGTTCATGATTTAATAACATTGAACAATTCCAATTACATTCTAAATTCAGCTTTTGATTCAAACCTGATCATGTTTTCTGTATTCTATTTATTATCTATTTATTTATTAACTTAGAATTTCCCTTTATATAATTGGAACTCTAGGTAAGTCTTGGTGCATCCACATTGTTACAAGTACAATAAATAATATACATGGGTTAAAATCCATCAATTCACTAAAATCAATGGGTATCAAATTTTTAAAACCTTCTTTTTTTAAAACATTATTGGTTACTCTTGTAAAAATCGTTTTGAAATAGTATTGAAAATTGCCCATATATCTCATCCCCCATTTATGTATGCATCATCACCCAGTATCCATTTAAGTTTTCCCATGGACAATGATACAAACCTTTTTCTAAAAAAACACCTCAAATGTTTCCCTGGTAAAAGTTGGGAACAGGGAAAGTCCAAAATATATAAGGTCCTTCTGAATGGTTGTCAATGCTAGAGTTTCCGAAAATATGAATTCTATTCCTTGGCAGTCCAATACTATGAGTTCACCAAATCTGCATTTAGCACACAGTTCAAAAATACTTCTGGCTGTAATTCCAGTATGGGACATATGGATCTGTTCTACATTCTTGCAGTACTTCAATGAGGCAATGTCATCACTAACCAAATTATTGCAGTGCTCTATGGACAGAACCTTCAAATTTGGTGTAAATCGTAGGAATGTCAATGTAGAAATACTTGTGGTATCCAGCATGAGATAATATAGATTTGTGCTAAATGTTAGGCTCTGTATCAGATGATTATCGAAATCTGTGGGGTCAACACATATTTCTACGGCTCCACATATATATATTTCTTCAAATTGTTCAGAATGTTTTGATAGCTGTAGCAATTGCTTTTCCCCTATTTCACTATTGCATAGTGATACACATCTGAAGAGTCGATTGGATCCATCAATAATGGCTTCAAATCTTTTACAGACGAGGGATACATTGAGAACATCTTTGGTTTCAAGCTTTTTGGAAAATGTAGACTTTGTATAAAAACCTCCTACCTCATACCCACCTACCCACCTACGTGGAAAATGATACAGTCATTGAAGGGTTCAATGTTAAAATTTATGAATCTCAAAATAGCTCAAATTATTAACATTTCTACAATACCTGCTTTATTTTATGACTAGACAGGTGACAGATCCACAAATAAAGGCATGGATACATTTTATGTGTTATGACCCAAGGGTGACCCAGGGGAATAACTAAGGACCTCGAGCATAGGTCCAACAGGCCAGATAAAGAAATTGAAAGAAAGTGTGCCTAATTCGATGGCCCGAGTGGGAATGGAACCCAGCTGGAATGTAGTAGCAAGTGCTATCAAAGGTCGTTACAAATGCATCTATAATTCATCATAAACTAAGATTTAATAAACTAAGATCTTTAAAATTGAACCCTTCAAAGACTTTATCATGTCCAACGTATGTGGGTAGGTGGGTATGAGGTAGGAGGTTTTTTATACAAAGCCGAAAATGTAATCCAACACTTCTGGTGGTAATGCGTTCAACATCCTGAAATGCAAATCAGAATAATTTATGTAATGCATGTCAGGACATACTTAAGGCTATTGGACCTGTACTGGATGGCAAATGTAAAATAGTTCTGTCTCCAATCTGAACAATGACATTGAATGTAAAGAAGTTTTATCTCCAGCATGAAATACTTCCTACTATTAGTTAGAGACCCAT